TAAGAGGGCTGGTATACAACCTACTGTTATTACTTTCAGGGACTGTGGAGAAATGATGCAAGGGACAACAGCAGCAGTGGTAACTCTATTATCAGAAAATAAGCTACAGGAAATTATGGTTTAAGACTGAAGGAGGCAAATATCATTCTGCTGGAAAGGATGAAGATTCCGCAATTTATTCTGGTATTGTGAGAAAAATCTGCCTTCATCCAAGAGGTCAAGGGAAAAAATGAAGATGAATTGAATGCATTCTTGAAAAAGTATATGATATCATGACTGAAGAAATAGTGATATGCACAAATGTTAACCTAGTTATTTAAAAGAAACAGATGCGCAGAGCAAGTCAGACAGGCAATATTAACATTAATTTATCTTACATGTCTTGCAGATATAAAAGTAGCTCAATTTTCTTATAACTGTGTACTCATGGTGGAAGTACTATGCAAAGATGTCATGCCTCTAGGGCTTACAAGATTCTTGTTTCTACTATCACAGGATTGAAGATAAAATTGGTAGACCTGACAGAAGAGGAACTGATAAGTTTTCAGGCACACATCCATATTATATCAGTATGTACAAACTTCCTATCTATATGAATTTCTTGGAAGTCATGAGAAACTTGAACCATACAGAGGGCACTGAAACTTCCTCTAATGAATTATGAATAAAGAAAAATTAGGTTAATATGATCTGAAAATATTTGGACTTTCAGATTCTAATACATACTTTATGTGCCACTTAAGAGGTATATTGCAGGAACCAGCAAAATGATACATGACCTCTCTTCACTTCATACTTCAAGCTGCATGCAGATAGCTCTCTTCAGGTCACAACCAAGGCACCATTTCCTTTGTTCCCATTGGCTTTGAGTCACCTTACAAATAGTGATCACTCTTTCAAAGTTCGTTTCAGGCTTGGGCTTGCCTACATCAGGCCAAATTTTCCACATGCAGCTCACTCTGCTTTCTGCTTGCTTCTCCTGATTTCCTTCTTGTCATATTCAACTCTACACCCCTCCATTTTAAATAAATAGGTTCAGCTTACTATCTGCTTCTGCTGGTTTCTTGCTTGGCTTATTCTTTGCTCCTGAGCATGGAGGTAATACATTCCCACCACACACAAAACTTCTCTGAACTATATAGGCCAGTAAACCATATTCATCACAAAACGTTTCTTACCAAATATTGCATCATAATCACTGAAATCAACAAGGGAATCCCCCCAAAAAAACCTCCACAGAGCATGAGCATGTTCCAAAAATAATTATATGATCATATAATATTCAACATGGAGCTGTTTACATCCAGAAAATATACAATGTATTACCAACTGAACTGACATCAACAATATGTAAGACAATGAGATGTACACTTAAACGACGGTTTCATATAATCATCTTGACATCTGAACATAAACAGTCTCCTAAATTAATTTCCAGTTTTTATCTTGTTCTGTAGACCTTCTATACATGCTGTGCTTATCACACAACATCAAATTATTAAACAAAGGATGCATTTTTAACTCTATTCATTCTGGTCCATCACACTAGTTAAATATTATAGAATGATTTGACAACACTGTCCAGTGTGGCTCAAATGTATATTTATATGAATGCCTTTACATGTTACAGTCAGTGATGACCATCTTCAGAAGGCATAACATGTTGGGGAAACAGATATAAGAAGAACAACGTTTTGATCTTGTATAATCAGCTAAAACAAAAGCAAAATAATAAAGGAAAAAACAGTATAGAAGCTAAAAAATGGGTTATATTCACCTACACCAGAAATTACATACATAAAATCACAAAGTTGCTTAAGGATACAAACTTAATGGTGACATTTAAAACAACCACCAGCATAGGCAAACTACTAAGTGACAACCGCACAATGAACAAATACAAACAAAGCGGTATATACAAAATGACTTGCCAGAGCTGTCACAAAGTATATACTGGACAAACAGGCCAAAATTTAAAAGCAAGATATAAGGAACACATAAGAAAAATAAGGTTTAATAAAGATGAATCAGCCCTTGCCCAGCACATAAAAGTTCACCAATACAGGCTTATGGGACAAATTAAGGAATTTTGTAAGTTTTGAGGTTTTCACAGTGATTACTATGAAGAAAGTCATCTTCTGGGATCTGGCGCCGTGTATTCTTTGTTTCAGCCGACGTTTCGGAGGAACATATCGCCTCCATCTTCAGGACAGGTGAATTGCGGAGAGAATACAGAGAGCAGTAGCAGTAGCTACTGCTCTGTTCCTCCGAAACGTCGGCTGAAACAAAGAATACATGGTGCCAGATCCCAGAAGACGACTTTCTTCAAATTATGGAATTGATCGAAAATGCCAGAAAGGGCAACATCATGAATATAAAAGAAAATTACTATACCTACAAATTTAAGAAATGTAAGGAAATAATAGAAGAAGAAAAGAGTACAAAAGATAATGACACCCAGAACAGTATGTTTGACATAGCATTAAGACATGAGTACACATCCATAAAATCATTACAGGGAACAGGGATATAAATACCCCACACACCACAAATCAGTTCATCACACAGTCAAAGGAGAAGTAGCTCAACAACACAGGTAGGAACATACATGATAGAACTAAAAAAAATGCAGTCAAAGAAATATTAAGTAAGTAAAATACACATAATACTTGTATAATTGCAGATTCTTAACAAAGTACATAAAATGGGGAAAACAATACAGCCTGGACTTTTAAGGACGGCAATATCACCCCAATCTCCTGTTGATAGAAGAGGCACAAAGACACAAACCTTAGCAATTTAAGATTTTAAATATTAAGAATTTTAATAATTTTTTAACTCAACCACATTTTATCTTAATTAAAATGTATATATAAAACTTTGATTTAACTTGATGTACTATGATCAATGTAAGAGTAGTTTCCTCAACATGTTGTTATGTCTTCTGAAGATGGTCATAACTGACCGAAATAAGTAAAGGTATTCATATAAGTATGAGTATACATTTGAGTCACACTGGATGGTGCTGTCAAATCACTCTATAAAGGGATGTATCTATGGCTAAAAATTATATTGTTCAGTGAAAGTGGTTGGTATGTTCATGAATAAAAAAAAAAATTCACCATAAAGAATATAACCTGCTTTCAACAATCCAGCTGCTTACTTTAAACTGAAAATGTAAATGTAAAGAACTTCTAGTCCAAATGTCAGTTATACGATTTTGATCTTATTTTTCCTGGAGGACTTCATTAAATCATGAATAATGCTTTTCCAGAATTAATTATTATTAAAAACAATATAAATTCAAAAAGAGAGTGATGAAAACAGGGAAAATCGAAAATACTGTGACATGAAATCTTAAAGGCGCAATAGTGGCATCAGAGCCAGGCGTCCATTGCTAGACAACGGCTCAGTAATCTAGTTTCCCCTGCAATGAATATTGACAAAGACTAATTTCCATGAAAACAAATAGCAGTGAATGCATCGTTGCCTAGTGTACACACATTCCCATGACAATGCATACACAAACAAACAATTACAATGACATGATGAACTGGACCCTTGAATTAGGTGTGCTGTACACGTGTGGAAGCCAGTTGAATACCTCAACCATAGCCCTGAGAGTCATAGGAGGTGACAAAAAGGGAAGTCTCAAATCTGAGACAATAAAATATGGTTGGGAGCCTCATGGGACTCAGACCTGAGAATGACTGCGTTGGCGAGAGTCAGCACCAATTGTAAACGACAGAACTGTCCTCTCATCAGAGAGAGCACCCCACATCAAGAAACCCACAACTGCCTGACAGTAATAGAAATCTGGCTGTAAGCCCCAGATGGAAGCTTTATTCTAAGACACACTGGTTGACTGACCGCCGGTCATAACATAAGCCTCAACTTGATAAAGAAGTAAATGTGAAGTGAGGAAGTAAGTGAGAGAGATTCAGAATTTGAGACTACAGACTCTTCAAGTTTCATGTTACCAAGCAAGCAATGTTGAAGACTTTGCTTTATATGTTAGAGTTACAGTAATATTTAGAGTGTGATAATCATTCATAGTTTGTGTGTCATAGTTAAAGTAATCTTGACAGCATAACAACTAATTATAGTTACGATTGGTGCATATCCAACAAATTGCTTCGCCAATCCAAGTCACTAATACATGTGACAATATTATGAAGAGTGAGCAAGATGATGAAAAAAGTCAAAAAAGCATCTTGGGATGAATCTGTTAAAAGCTTAAAGGAAGTTCACTGGGGNNGGGGGGTATGGGGAAATGATTTACAATGATGAGAAATATAGTCACGTGTATCAGTGGCTAAAGACAGGGTTCAGATTGGTTATTGGATTTATTAACCACTTACAGATCATAACTACAATTAATTATAATTCTGTTCCTGATTTTCACACTACAAAGCACTCTATGCTAATCTCTTCAGGCTATTGGCACTAGTCTTCATGGATTTATAACACAAGAACTATAAAAGTCTCACTAAATCACACACTCCCAATATCGCCATACTACAGAACACATAAAATCTTCAAATCAAAAGTTAAATCTTCACAGGCTGACTTCCTGTACTCCTCCAGCTTACTGCTTCAGCTTTGGAATTCTGCTTGCTTATGTAGGCACAGCATGGACATGCCTCATAGAAAACACATGTCATGTGATGGCTACATGGCCAGTCCATTGGCATGCTGGCTACAGAAAACATGTATCACGTTACAGCTACCAACTGTTGCAGTGGCGTCATTGCTCTTGCACAGAAGTGGGTTTACCAAGCCACTGACTGGCAATGTGCTGATCAAATCCATTATAATATAAACCAATGAAAGATATTGTATTATAGTTTACTTTGAGAAACTACTAAATGCAGATCCTACATTCACAAACAACCAATGACCTTAATAGGTCAGCCAACACGCACGCACCCACACACACAAAGCTTCAGTTCTATTCTAGTATCAGCAAATATCTCATTACAGAAAAAAGAACATAAGTCTTAACTGAGCTAAGACTGCACTGAAAAAGAATCTGTTTTATTCTTTAAATACTTAAAATATGACTCTGAAGAATGTATTAACAAATTATGCATATATTTACTTTATACCGAATGGAACAGTTGAGCCTTAAAACTGATTGTTCTTTCAGTATAAGCCACTAGTTTTGACTTGTCACCAGTCTGTATCCACAGTGCACAGCTGCATGTGAATTAAATGCTTGTTTATTGTAATGGAAGAGATTGTCAGAGCCTGAGTTATTCAGTTTACCTGAGAGAAGGCACATCAGCAATTAGAGAACATTGTTCCCTTTCTCACATTATCTACACTTTATTTTCTTCTAAGTAGTTAGTAGAGCATGGATGCTAACATGTCATCTGTAACTGATTTTACAGAATGTGCCAGTTAAGGGTACACTTTTAAAATCTTTTATAATGATCTACTGTCACTGGACACGAATACATACAAATATACACTGTACTCTGGTTGTGTTCGAGACTTGAATAAGAAAGAAAAACAGATGGTAATTTAGGAACACCAGTTTGATTTCATACATATTGTAAAACCAGAGCTTAACTTTGAATATGTGACATAATATATAATTTAATAGGACAGAAACATGTATTTACTATGCCCACACTTGTTCTCAGTCTTGTAAGCATATACCCTTCATATCTCCATATATCCAAACTCTAAACTGCTTATTTCCTATAATTCACAAAACATTTATTATTTTAAGTAAATAATAAGACACATGTGTACAGTATCACTTTCTTGCAGAAGCCAGTATACATTATTAACATATGACACATCTGGTCTGAACAGAGATTCAAGTTTCTACCTTACTGTACATTCTACCTGAATCCTGAATCATTTTCTGCTTGTTGTGCTCTTGAGAAATCTGGCTACAGTTATCTATAAAGAGAAATGATTTTGACAGTGGTTCAGTGTATGGTGCAGGTGGATTACCAACCATTTCAATATGTGGATGTGTTTCTTGATCATGGATATGTGAAGCTGTCAAACTTATCGCCGAATGCAGGTCTAACCCAGGGTGTGAATGTGACAAAGAACGGAGAGAGGCTGGTGGGGGTGGCATGTCTGTGGATGAATCAATGTTACCAACTTCGGGTAAAATGTTTGTGTCATGGGCATCTGTATTGCAGCATAGGTTACCATCTATTGTTATGCTGTAGGGACGCCGATGGGGAACAACTAAAGCAGTTTTGTTCAAGTCTCTTATACAGATATTATCATTTAAAGCTGCAGGGGGAATGGGATATTGCTCGAGAGACTGTGGCACCATATCTCTGTCAGGACTGTGAATGAGGTTTCCACTTGCATAACTGTGATTTTCAGTTTCCTTTGTATGACTACCCAGCTCAGTGACATGTTCAAAAGTCTGTTCACAGACTTGAAAAGAGTATACACATGATAACGCACTATCTGGAGTGTCTTCTTGTGCAGCATTATGAATATTTAGATGTTTTGTAAGACTGTCCTGGTAGCGGAAAGATTTACTACAAACATGACACCGTAGAGGTCTACAGCCATTGTGCACAGGAGAATGTAATGAAAGTTGTGTTTCAGACTGAAAGCCTTTATGACACACATTACAGCTGAAAGTTGTTTCTTTTTCTTCTGTCTCCTTATGTGACTGGATGTGCTTGTTAAGTGTACTTCTGGTTGCAAACTTCCTGCTACAGACAGAGCACTGATGTCGACGCTCACCAGTATGAGATGTAATGTGTTGGCGCAGCGCATCTGGACGCATGAACTTCTTGCCACAGGTTGAGCAACAGTGCGGACGTTCGCCTGTGTGCGCACGCCGATGGTAGATAACGGTGCTGCGGCCCGCAAAGCGTTTGTTGCAGATTTCACAAGAGTAAGGTCGTTCTCCAGGTTCAATATGTTCCACCCGTGTGTGCGATTCAAGTCTGCTTTTTGTTTTAAATGTCCGTGGACATTTTCCACACAGGAATGGCTTTGCACTTCGCACATCTTTTGAATTGTTGTGTACCTACAACAGAGACATATATATATAAAAGGAAGAAAAATTATGTTTTGTTTGTGATTGCACATGGTATCATATTTGTACTTGAGAATTAAAAACAATGGAGTGAGACTGTTTCCTTAACAGGAATCATGTAACCAACCTGGATGGTTGGTAAATGCTCAGGTAGACTCACAGAATGTATGAATATATTCTCTGGTTCATCACATATTACATGTAAAAATTTATGAGTAGTGGTGTTTTACATGTGCACAACTAATCAGTGATATCTCTCTGGATGGTTAGGTTAGAACAACATGTACACTACACTCTGGAACCTTTCTTTGCAGAATAACATGAAAGATATGAGTTATGCTTATGCTGAACTGTAAGTGTCCCTGTGCTTAACTAATTAAGCACCATGCCACGAAAACATATGGGGGGGAGGTGAATGCATAGTGCACAGAACCAGGTTTTCTTGACCTCAGGACTACTTGCACATGAGTGGTCAGCTTCACACCCCATAGAAAGAGACCCCAGTACCCACCGGATAGGAGGCTGGGTGGGCCCCAGAACTGGTCTAGACAACATGGAGAAGAGAAAATTATCTCCCCCAGTAAGAATTGAACTCCGACTCGTGGGTCATCCAGCCTGTAGCCGGTCACTATACTGACTGTGCTATCCTGGCTCCATATGCTGAACTGTGGTGTACTGGCCTTATGCAGGAACTGTTAAACCATAGAGGCCTAGGGGCACATGTGCAACGTGAGAGTTGTGAATTGTATTGGTGTGTTGCTAGGCGAAAACTCTGTGAATCCTTGGATTGCACAACAGGAAGTGAGAGTGACATCACATACCCCACTCATCCCGTAACTATGCAACGCTCGATAAACACCCCTCAACGCTAGGCTGTGACATCACGCAACAGGGGAGTCCATGCAGAGACTATTGCTAGGCAATTGGTAAACACAACATCACTCAACAGTTGTAGCTATCACATAACTGTTTTCTGTGTTGTCAGTGCGGAAGCTACATAATGAGGAGTATTCGTCAGTGTTGAACCAGAGAGAGAGTTACCAGTATTGAGTAGGAGTAGTCAGCATGAGCTGACGTCCAGCAGCTACGAGTTGTTATTGGGTACAGCAGGAGAAGTAATTGTGATACTGCAGATGGCAGTAATTGTTAAATTGTGAGCTGTGTAAGTGTAAGAGCGAGTGTGCAATAAATTCGCTAGATCCAAAATGGCGTGAAGTTATTTGACGCGTCACCTACAGCAACATGTGAGAATACATTTCTTCTATCGATAAACAGTAAGACAGGCTAATCACACTCCTTGGCATTCCTTACAGCATTAGAAAAAAATGCCTCATACTTGTCATTCTGTATTAGGGCCTATAATGTAGGACAGATTTTGTTTTATATTTTATATGGGAGACTTTCACTAATATTCATCAGGAAATTCAATTTTCAACCATGCTGATCCCTAATAAAGTTTGGTTTACATAAGGCTATAAATGGACTTCATACATATCATCCACAATTTCACAGATATTCTTGAAACTTTATATGGAAGACTTACTCCAAAATTTGAGTACAATTTGAGATTTTCAGCCAGGTTGAGCAGTAATAAAGCCTAGCTTACATATCACAAAAACTGTTCTAGAGATTATGCTGAAATTCAGTATGTCAAGATTTTCACTGAACATAGTTGCACAATTCTGATTTTCAGCCATACTCATCCATGATGAAGCGTAGTTTCCATAAAACCATAACTGTCTGTTGTGTTGTGACGGTCAATAAAAGAGTTGTATAACTGGAATTTTCCATGCATTCCATAAACCTCTCCACAGACTATGCTGAAATTTTGTAATTCTGAAACTATCATTAATTTGTATTTCATTATTCCCAGTTGTAAGTAAGGATACCATTGATAATGTTGTGTAACCTTGTTTTCCTCCAAAGATTTGATCATAGAATCAACACATTCTGGAGGACCCAGACAATTAAATCCATGTTATTACTTTAGATGGACAAATTGTTGGGTTACTTAATGATACTTCAAGTGCCCAGGTTAGTGTCAAATAACAGGAAGTCTGTTAATACCAAATATGAAATCATGGGTGTAAGAGCACAATCTATTTCGAGGTGCTATTTAAGTATCTGCTGTGAAGGCCTGAGGGACACAGACATAACGGCCAATCTTGGAGCTGAGCTTCACATGCAAGACCTCCTGACAGCAAAGCAGGGGGTAGAAACCAATCAGCTATTACATTTGGCCTGTGATTAAAGAACTTAGGGAAAATTAGCATCAATTAAAGACTGTTATATTGATGTGATATAATTTTAAGTGCTGGAAGACACAACTTTCTAAAAACATGACAAGGTCAGTGACATAACTGTCAATACTTTTCATGGCTGAATGGGTTTTGCATTAAGAGTGTGGGACACCTGCACTAGGCAGTTCAGATTATCTCAACGTAACTGCGGGATAATGTCAAAAGGACATGACAGGAGCAAAGACATATTTCAATCCCAAAGAAATTATGACATCAAAATTAAACTAACTGTAAGATGAATTGTGGAAACTCTTTTTTCTCCTAGAGACATTCACATAGAAGTAAATTCAATGACAGCAAGGTGTCAGGTCTCATAGCAATGACTGTGACACAGTACATGTATAGCACAGCAGATCACTATCAACGTTTGAGAGGAATGTGCTGCCACCATCAGGGTAGAAGATGGAGATAGCATGTTCCTTCAAAACACTGGTAATGATCTACCACACTAATAAGACCAGATCCCACAAGACAGTAATCTTCACTCATGAAGTCTATCCTACTCAGGCAACAAAAGAAATTGGTTTTTAACATTTTGTGCCATAATCCAGTGGTATGCCAAACTGACTTACTTGCAAATACTATATCAGGAACACAAATGCAGTAAACCTCTACTCTAAGAGCCTCTCCATAACAAAACCTCCAATGCACAGTTAAGTTTATCCATATCAAATATGAGTCATAAAAGTTTATGAGGTACCAACTCCATATCTTACGCAATGCACTTTCTTCCTACATCTGGGATTCACCATACCTCATCACTCAGCCATCTCATTCAGCATAAATGCTCAAGCTGTTAATACATCACTGAACAATCTCGGACAATAAAATCCACTAACACCAAAGCTCCCATCATTGGACATGATGCTAGGCCACTTCAATCCACTTCACACTGTCACAAACTGCTTTTTATAAAAAATCCATTTTAATATTATATTCTGATTCTCAGTCTCCCAGTCTCATAATATTAAATTATTATGTATTAATATGTTCATATTATATATTAATACTAGCTTGACCATAAATAAACAAAGAATGTTCTACAGTCTGGCAAAACATGGTATATCAAAGATCTTAAACAGCATCCAAATATAGAGTAACTTGGAATATACATAATAAGGAGCTATAGACAACCTCTTCAAAGAAACTAGCACATTACAAAATATTTTGAAGAATCCTGGGCGGGAATGGATTCATTGAATAAGGCTCAGTTTTGAGCTCTTGTGAACAGCAATAAACCTTCAGGTTCCATAAAAGCAAGGAAACTTTTCAAAGAGCTCAATAATTATTACCTTCTCAAGACAGACCCTGTTCCATGGACATAGTTTGGTAGTTATATAAAGAAATCCCATGCAATAAAGTCCCAACAATGGATTCCCTGAATTTCTCTTCACAGACCATACCAACATACCTTCATGTGACGGATCAGATGGTTCTTTTGTATGAAACCTTTGCCACATATTTCACACTGATAGCTTCTGCAGCCAAGATGTGTGCCTGTGACATGAACTCTCAATGCAGATGCAGTAGAGAAGCATTTGTTGCAATGATGGCAGCAGTGGGTCTTCTCATGTGACTTGACATGCGTCCACAAGGCATGGCGTGTGAAGCTCTTCCCACACACTTCACACATGGAGTCTTTCTTCTCATCAGCATCTGCATGAGTCTTCCTGTGGTGATTCAACCCAGTGCGGCCAACAAAAGTCTTATGGCATATCAGACACTCAAAAGGTTTGTTGCCAGTATGTGTCCTGATATGTTCCTCTAGATATTCCTTTCTTGAAAATGACTTATTACATACAGCACATTCAAACATCCTGCCTTTATCCTTGGCATGAATATCAGCATGCTTCCGAAGTGCACTCTTTGCTGCAAAAGCACGGCCACACTGTTTGCAAGAGAATGGTTTAGAACCAGTATGTATGCGAACATGAAGTTTCATCTGACTTGGTCTATCAAATCCTTTCCCACAGTAACTGCACTTCATAACTCTTCCATTTGGGTGAATGATTAAATGCTCCCTCAGCTGTTTCCGTGATTCAAAATTCTCACTGCATGTATAACATGTTAAAACAGAATCCCTATCTCTCCATCTCTTATGAGGTTTGTTTTCTCCTGCCTCATCATGTGCTTCTTCTGTTGCTCCATCCTCATCTGGCATACTGCTTCCCTCTGCTGTATCATCCTGTGGTAGAGAAACAGAATTGCAGTAGGGCATAAAGTTATTCGACTTGACCCAGGGCCATAGTGCGGCTGGAAGGATTAGGTCAATTGAATAATCCAATCACCTCATCAGGAATCGAACCCATGACCTTCCAGCTTGTAGCATAGTGCTTCAACCAACTAAGCTACTGCATGCCCCAGTTTGAATATGTGAAGAATAGAATTTTAATTATACTTGAATTCATATTCATATATATTCCCAATTCCATAGCTCCAGAGGGGCTAAAATGCCATTGGATGTGGAACAAGTCCCATACATGCATAATTTCAAAAACGATTGAAACCAGTCAACACAATAACTTTTCTTATACATGATCGGACAAATTATATAAACATGCAAGATAGCCACAATATTTACATACAAATAGTACATTTAAAAAACATAAAGTTGACATCTTACAATCAAAATAAACAAAATTTACAGTCATAAAATCAGCAATTTCAATACTTTAGATATAGTCAAATTTCAAAATTCTTATTTATGACAATAGTATTCCTCCACAGTGTAGAAAGATTTGGTTGTCAGGAAATTCTCTAATGTAACTTTAGATTTAGGAATATCATACGATATTTGTTTAAGAGTTGATGGAAGGTGACTGTAAAGTTTAATACCAGAGCACTGTACTCCTTTCTGGCAAACAGCCAGATTTACCACTGGAAAATGCAAATCACAATTAGATCTTGTATTAAAAGTATGAACATCCAAGTTCATTTTAAATAAATCTTTATTATTAACAATAAATATTAATAAAGACAATATATACTGAGAGTAGAACGGTAAAATAGACAGTTCCTTAAATAAATTTCAACAAGAATCCCTGCTGCCGGAATTTGTAATGATTCTTACGTGTATTATCCTTTTTTGGATTTTAAATATAATTTCAGAGTGAGTTGAGCTACCCCAAAATATTATACCGTATGAGATAATTGAATGGACTAATGAGAAGTAAACAACTTTTAAGGTCTCCAAAGACAATAACGGTTTCAAAAATCTAATTACATATGATACTTTATTTAGTTTAGGTATCAATTGTTCAATATGAGTACGCCATGATAAATTTTTATCAATTATTAAACCTAAATATTTTATGGTCTGTACATTAGTTATTTGTCTCTTTCCATATGATATATTTAAGTCAGCTGCATTAGTGTTTTTAGTTAAAAATTGAAGGAAATAAGTTTTTCCAGATTTAATGATAATAAATTGCTATGAAACCATCTATTTAATCTTTCTATGGCAGTATTTATCTCTCTTTCAAACATTTGGATATCAGGGTTTGTAATTATCAGACTGGTATCATCAGCATATAAGACAGGGTTTGAGATGTCAGATATTATATTAGGCATATCATTAACATAAAAGAGAAAGAGCAAGGGACCAAGTATGGTCCCCTGAGGGACTCCAACAGTAACAGGGTCCCATCTAGAGTAGCAATTACTTGAGTTAACATTAACTAACACACACTGATATCTGTCTTGTAGATAGGATTTTATTAAGTTATAAGCTGTTCCTGTAATCCCATAGAATTCCATTTTGAACAACAAAATATCATAATTAACACTATCAAATGCCTTATGAAGATTGCAGAAAATATCCCCAACTAATAATTTACTATTTAATGCTGTTAAGATATTATTAAGTGATAAGACGGGCAACCTGTCGACGATGCTTCCCTAAAGCCAAACTGTTCATTAACAAGACTATAACTATCCTTTATATGTTGATATAATCTATAATAGAGTACTTTTTCAAAAATCTTAGAGAGTGATTTGAGGAGCAAAACAGATCTATAATTAGATGTGTCATGGTGGCGAGTTTGTCACCCTTACACACCAGCCACTCTTTACCACCAGGAAGATTCCTAGTACTCACTTCTGTTAGAGGCTGACTCGACCCAGGGCCACAGTGCAGCTGGAATGATGAGATCAATTGAAAAATTAAATGACCTCATCAGGGATCGAACCATGACCTTCCAGCTTGTACCATAATGCTTCAACCAACTAAGCTACTGCATGCGACAGTTTGAATATGTGAAGAATAGAATTTTAATTATACTTGAACAAATAGCATTAATCCTGAAGATGACGACAAATATTGAATACTTCCTTAAACATATTTTCATCAGATATGACATATCAGTCACCAGCTAGCATCACAACATCCAAATTCAGTACCCTTACATATTACTCTGACCAGAAAACTTACTGACAGTAGTGTTTATCCTGCAGAGGTGATGGTTATTCAATCGTACAAGAAATTTCTCATCATTCTAGACTTGTTTTAATTATCAAAAATTCTATCTGTGGTTACTATGCCAAGCCACTTCAGCATAGTTCACATCCTGATAACTTACTTCCCTGAGATCCATTTTAAGCACAGCCACATTGCGAACAACAGAACAACAGGGATCCCTTCGCATACAAATACATATAAGCATTAAACCCTCTATCTACGAGAACAAAACTAGCTGGGCACAACACAAGACAGAATATCTGCCGACCAACCCTTACACAATGAAAGAAGTAACTCAATGCTACAGAGATTCTGAGAAGGGCCCCTTCATGTTGCATCGACCTGCAACTTATCAACTTATTATAACAAAACGTGATGATCCCAAAAAATACTCCTAATTTTAAGCTTACCTTAGAAGCAACTCTATATCTCAGGTGTAACTTCAGTAGTTAATTTTCAAAAATTTGGAAAATTTAGATCTTTAATATTTATCTTCAAGGACAAAAATACATTAACAACTATGTAATGTTAAAATCCAAACTATATACAAAGTAATTAGTCTTAATGTCTAAACAGAATCAAAAACTATATTATTAGCATATTTTTTGTGTATTTATTAGATATATTTAGTAGTTACAATGGCTGAGATATCTAAGGCACTGTGTTCAGGTCGCAGTCAACTTCTGTGGGCATGGGTTCGAATCCCACTTCTGACAAATTTTTAGGCCGCGCCATAGCTCAAGGGGATAGTCGCTGGCTTCCCACTGTGGCAGCCCGGGTTTGATCCCGGGTCTGGTCAAGTGGGATTTGTGGTGGACAAAGTGGCGCTGGGGCAGGGTTTTTCTGAGTACTTTGGTTTCCTCTGTCAATCTTCATTCCACCAACTGCTCCATAATCACCCTCACCTATCATCAGGGGCTGGTACAATAGGCCAGAAGTGGCCGCAGTACCAAGTGGACTCAGTCCCACCCCAACAAGCAATATAAAAAATATATTTAAAAATAAGGTAGTATTTGTTATCAAAAAATAAACAAACTGTAATAATATGGATCCATATTAAAATACAATTCAAGAACTAACACTGAATTCTTGTAAGTGCACCTGATGATGACCTCTTGAAGGTCAAAAGGTAGTGGAACACCTTTGCACAATAAACCAATGGTGATACATCAGTATCAATTTGTCTTAGTTTACATTCATAGATATTACCGTTGTTTAGACAGCCCTATTTGTGATATAATACACAACAGGATGCAGACCATAGATGTTAATTATCTTCCCCTTACAACCGGAACTTAAAACTAAAAGCCTTCATTTACTTCTTCTGCCATACAGTTCTCCCTCACTCTGACCTACCATAAGAAAGCTGCGAGACAAGTACAAACTGTGAAGCTCCTTGTTATGTAGATATCAGTACAGCCTCGTTAGTTCCTATGCATAAGGAGACATTTCAATTGAAATTCATGTATATAAAATTTCACTTAAGTGTAACAGCGTTTGGAAACCTCCAGTGCAATCTGAAGGATCCTGAATAAAGAAATCACATCTCTCTGGAGGAAACAAAGTTACCTTGCCTCACAAATTCTCATGGACACTTCCTGAATTAATAATTATATTAATTAGGTTTGCTTTTATTCTTTATTTTCCATAAATAAAGCTCAAGGGACAGTAAAAGTCTAACACCTCACTAGTCTATCATACATTAGCAGCATTGTTGTTCAGAACTGCATCACTCCTGTTCAGAGTGGTTCCCTTTTGCTGCTAGATATAATTCCATTATTGTTTACAACTGTTCAAGCAATCTGATATCCTGATGTGATCCTTCATTGTATGGATGAGCAAGAAGTCACATGGAGTGAAATCTGGTAAGTGGAGTGTTACAGGACCACCAACAGAGAGCACACCTGCGCATGCGTTTGTGTGTGTGTGTGTGTGTGTGTGGAGGAACACAATGTCACAGCATCAGATCCACAAACCTGCTGCCTCAGATCCATAAACCTGCTGCCTCAGGATGTTCTTAGTCTTGGAAATAAGACTTCCGGTTGAGAGTGTGACCAATTTTCCATGCATTATCCCTTTGCATTCAAAGTAAAATTAACACTGTCTTGACTTTTGGTTTTGACATCTGCACTTTCTTGGTGTGGGGTGAGCCTGGAGATTTCCAGTGCATACTCTGAGCACCCGCTGATTTTTGTTCTCCTCAATTTCTTTTGCAAAGGACTGGCACAGGTGTCCCTCCTCCACCGCAGTTAGTCATTTGTGATGTTCCTGGGCACCATCTTTGCATCCTCAAATTTTCCATCAGAAGCTGTTGTACTGACGTACCAATCTGTTGAATATCTACCGATATTCAGTTCTCTTGCAGTCATTCTGACAGTAAAACATTGAACATTCTGCACCATTCTTCTCACCTTTTCAGTATTTACATACAGTTTTCATGTTGTCAGACAACCGAGTCACCCGTTAAAAGTCAATCTCTTCCCATCCTTCACTTATACTATTCAAGAATGTAGTTCTTGACATAATCTCTTCTCCACACACTTACTTTAACGTTTAAAATATTTATTACCCACTTTTGTGACAAGCAATCCAAATATTATGTAGTTTTTTGAGGTTCTCCCAGCCATGGTTATGAAGAGTACTATCTTCATATCCAAACATTACTTCAGTTAGAGCACAACTCTACATTTGCTTGACTTGTCAAGACAGTTTGAATCTTGGCCAGGTGACTGGACTGCCTGAGTAAGATTCTTTGTGCTCTTCTGACATCCCTCTAGGAAAAGGCTGGGGTAGTACCAGAAATTAGGTCATGACCACTTCCTTCCATATCCTTTCCAAAAATTATTCAGTAACGATCCTACCATCTGTTACTATACAGTCTGAGCCATTGACAGCATCATAAAATAAAACACAAATAAATGATAAACAGACAGAAATGTTAGATCAAGGGAAAGCAGTTATCTGTGCACTTCAGACTTAAGTTCATCTTCTTGCTTTAAATATTCTGATACTGATAATCAGAATGTGATTTTATATCTGAAGCCACAAAATAAAGTAAAAAAGGCAAAGCTATCCCTGTACCAGGCCATGAAGGCCCATAGGGTTGTGAGATGTTGAGGGTCCCACATTATCTAGACAATCGGCTCAAAGATGGCGGTAAGGTTGTCACCCTTACGCGCCAGCCGTGCTTTACTCCTCAGGAAAATTATTTAATTAATTCCTGGTACTCATTTCTGTTAGAGGCTGAGTCAACCCCAGGGCCATAGTGTGACTGGAAAGGTTAGGTCAATTGAAAAAAAAAAATCCAATGACCTCATTGGGACTTGAACCCGTGACCTTTCGGCTTGTAGCATAGCCCCTCAACCATCTACGCTACCATGTGCCACAAAATAAATGTACTAAATTGAATTACACTTGTTTACCTCAACACTAATTTCATTCTCATTTTTCAAGCTGTTCTGGTCTTCTTCCACAGGTGTTTCAGTTGGTATCTTCACACCTCCATGCTCTTCAAATGGTCCCTGTAATTATTTTAATGACACATTTAACAAATCACAGCATACAATTGCCATGGATTTAAATTTATATTTCAATGCACAGGGAAAATTAAATTTAAGTGTGACAACCTGGGGAATCTGAATCTCAGCTAAGAGCAACTAACTTAGATTGCGTTAAGATCACTGAAAACTGATGGATATATTCTTACTGTGTGAATAACAGGTTTAGATATAACACACACAACTGGTTGCATGAAATCATGCTTATGGCTAAACAGAGGTCAAGTTTACAAATTTGTGACTGCTGTTATTTCATAACAGCCCAAGTTCACGTTTCATAATGGTTAATCCAACATCATCCACAACTGCTACAGCAAAACTATGAAGTTTTCAAATAAAACAAGTCATAGTTCTTTGAACTTACCACTTCTTTGAAACTTCCTGTAGTTATAGAAGAAGAAACTTCTAAGCCAATGACATTCTCAAAGTTTCTGGAAGTTTGTACACTTCTGCTGCAGTCATCTTGTTGTGTATTTTCATCTCTCTCTATAACTTCTTCCTGATGTTCCATATTTGGATGGAGAATGCTTTCAGAAAAATATGTGTTTTGTTCTTCCACTGATTCACTGAATTCTGTCTTCTGTTTCATTATAGATGTTGCATTAGTTAAAATTTGACATGTTTCTGATTCAGAAATTGACAGCAAGCTAAAATCAATCCAATCTGACATGACCTGGCAGAAAACCTCTGTAGTCCCCGCAAACTCTGCCATTCCTTTGTATATATAATCTAGAAAAGCTCTTACATGCTGAGTTCGTAAGTCTTTGATGAGAACAAAAGCATCCTTCACATTATGCTGCAGACATCTGGTAAGGTTTTTGAAGTACATACTAAATGCACTTAGTACAACAATGTGAGCTGTGAAGCTGTGTTTGCCTCTGAGTAACGTTATATCAACCAAGTCTTCATAATCCAGAAAGTGCTGAAACATGTTTTGGAGTTGCACAGAATGTACATTCTGTTGAGATAAACAGTGAGAAGCCTTTATCCTACTGACAACATTTGAAGTAGAGCTGTTTCTGTGTATTTCAGACATTTTTTCAATCATAGGATTAATAGATATCAGTTTTCTACAAAGATTTTGAATACCTAATAGTTCAGCTGTGTCATAAATGGAATTAATGTTCCTTTCAAACACAGAAACACTTCCTCTGTAGCAGAATTCAAGAACGGCCTCCAGATCCTCACTCTTAACATTCTGAAGAATCAACACATATGGTTTCTTTTTATTCCTTTCACTGTGCTTGAGGAAAATGTTGAGCAAATGTCTACTGCATGCACCCAAAATACAAGAATGTGCAAAAGTCTGTGAAAAACTGTTTGTCACTAAAATCACATCACATTCTGTTGGATTAGACCGAGATTGCCACAGATATTGGAGGATCATTTCTTGGTGCTGAGGCCATGTAAAATAAGTCACATCCTCAGAACAATGGTTTCTTCCAGCTTCCAATATGCTGTCTAATCTTAGCAACCTGGTTGTTTTGTACCAGTCATTCAAACTGGATACAGGAACAGATGTTACACCTGTATAGATGTAACTAATAAGAAATTGTAAAAGAGATTCTTCAATGTCACTGATCAATACATAGCAATTTAGAATTTCATTTGTCAGAAATTCTTTAAGGTAGGAACTGTAACACGACAATATCACCCGATGAACTGGCACTTTCAGATTCCCTGTGACCAGCGTAGTGTCAGTTAATATATTTAATAATGTAAAGTCCTTTAATGTTGTCACCAAGTGATTAAAGTGATCTTCCCAATGGACGGCTTGAAATTGCATTGTTATGTTGTGACTGCTAAGTTGTCCTGTAGTAAACTGCATATTTATTGAATCCATTTTTTACATCTGTAAAAATAAACAAATCAGTAAACCTTTTAAAGATTTTCCACACCTTATTTTATTTTTCACTGCAATGGATCTGACTTGACATTTTGTGTATTAAGTGATCCAAAAAAATTATTTAAATTCTGATATTGTTATCTTTATATGACACAGAGCAACAGTGGATTTTTGTGAGATATGGTATAAACATCATGCCATTGGAGACTACTCTAACTTTGTTTAATTAACTATACCAATAAGGAACCATCCTAATTTCCAAGGTGGAAGCAACATCAGTAACAGCTATAATCCTGTAATCCATCCATTTTCTTATGAAGATTGACCATGGCAGGGAAAAACAAGCAATCACAACAGGGGGTTGGAGGGAGCATTCAGCTGAGGCCATAAGTTGTTGCCTAGCAGTGGTAAAATATGTCTGTATGCTATGCAGTTCAGTGCAGTGCAGTGTTGTCATGTTTTATCATTTCACTTACTCATGGAGCTGAGCCCTTCTTGAGAAGCTGCCAATTATGCAGCTGCTCAAGAACTTTCCAGCATTTTATGGAACCCGAAGGTTCATTACCATGTTCACAAGAGCTCTCCACTGGTCCCTATCCACAGCCAGATTGATCAAGTCCATACCACCCTAATCTATCTCTCTAAGATCCATTTTAATATTGTCCACTCATCTACGTTTTGGTCTTCCTAGTGGTCTCTTTCCTTCTGGCTTTCCCACCAATATCCTATACGCATTTCTCTTCTCCCCCATTCGTACTATGTGCCTGCCAATCTCATTCTCCTTGACTTGATCATTCTAATTATATTTAGGGAAGAGTACAATTTATGAAGCTCCTCATTATGCAGTTTTCTCCAAGCTCCTGTCACTTCATCTCTCTTCAGTCCAAATATTCTCCTCAATGCCCTGTTCTCAAACACCCTCAGTCTACGTCCTTCCCTTAAACTCAGAGACCACGTTCCACACCCATACAGAACCACATGCAAGATTATAGTTTTGTATATTCTAATTTTTATGCTAATTTTTAATTAGACAGCAGACAAGATGACAAAAGGTTCTGGACTGAATAGTAGCAAGCATTACCTGAGTTCAATATCCTCTTAATTTCCTCCTGAATCAGGTTTTGATTTGTTATGGTCATTCCCAAATGTCTGAACTATGCCACATTTTCAAAACATCTGTTACCTATCTTTATGTCATGATCTTGCACTGCACTCCGGTGACGAGACAGCAGCATATACTTAGTTTTCACTCTGTTTACTTCTAGACCAACCTTCTTCTTTATAGTATCTATGCTATCTCCCAACAGATTTATATCAGCATAGACCAGCACTTGCTATGTCCCATTTAATTTCAAACCCACCTGGTTTGCCTGCACCTTCCTAATGGCATATTCTGAAACAAAGTTGAAAAGCAATGATGATAAAGAATCTCCTTGTTTTAGACCATTCTGGAATCAAATAAATGTTTACCTACACAGATTTTACTATACGTTTCATTTAAACACACTAGTTTCATGGGTACCCCAAACTGTATGAGAATACTGTATGATACTTTCTTCATAACTGAATCACAGGATTTCCTGAAGTCTATGAATAGGTGATGTACTGTCTCATTGTACTCCCATTTTTTCTCCAGTATCTGACAAATGCAAATAATCTGATCGGTAGTTGATCTGTTATATCGAAACCCACTCTGATGATCCCCTATAATTTCATCTATATATGGACTTAACCTTGTCAGAAGAATATTGAACCAAATTTTGTATGAAGTCAGTAGCAGTGATATCCCTTGATAATTACTACAGTCAGTTTTATCACCCTTCTTGTGAACAGGTACAATAATAGACTCCTTCCACTGATCAAGTAATTTTTACTTGTGCCAAATAGAAGTAATTAGCGTATGGATCTTAGAACGTAATATTTTGCCTCCTGCTTGAATAAGTTCTGCCGGAATTTGAAAGCTACCTGGCAATTTATGCCTTTTCAATTTTGCAATAGCAATTTCAACTTCACAAGGGCTAGGATCAGGTGTATGTATTGCTACCTGCCTAACATCACTGACTCTATGTACATTCAATAACTGAGAGTAGTTCTTCCTCCGATCCAATATGTTGTGGGACTCTGCAAGCAGATCACCATTCTCATCCTACACTAAGTTACTTCTAGGTTGGTAACCCCTCTTAAAATAAGTTGTTCCTCTATACAGGTCTCTTTATGTTCTTGTTCTTATCTTTTGTTGCAAGCTCATCAATTTTGTCATCCACATATTTCCTCTTTTTATTCCTGAAATGCCTACTGGTTTCATGTGTTGTATTGTTCAGATTATCCCCATTTATTTAGCTTGGATCCTGTAACCACTGCAATTTGGATTGTTTCCTTTGGTCTAATAATTTTGAACATCCTTTGTCAAACCATGGCTTATGCTTCTTTAGTTCATAAAAACCTAGACTCTCGTTGGCAGAAATTTTTATATTCTCTCTAATAGTTTCCCAAGCTTTATTAACATCCACCTCAGTGTCTTAAGTTTTCCAAAGCTGCCAACCTATTTGAGATTTCAACAAGATATTGCTCCTTACCTTCTACCTCATTTAATTTCTGGATACTGAACCTCTCCATATGAACTCTGTGTATTGCTTGTTTACTCACTGCCAGTCTTTCCCTAAGCTCTGCCACAACCAGGTAGTGGTCAGAATCACATTCAGGGTAGCAGATTATTTTATCATTTATCCAAAGAAAATGAGTGGTTTGAAAAATGCTTACAGGTGATACATAAACACGGAATGAGAATTATATACAATATGTCACACAGAGAACAAAAACGAAGACCTAGCTCAAACTCTGCTGAATTCTTCAGTCAGTTGGTAACACAGTTGCCAGGTAGAAGACACCTCATGATGGCCATATACAGCCCAAACATGTTGTGAGGAAGTAGGGTGAGTAACAATAAGTAGCACTGGAGACAAAAATATATTGTATGAAATTAAAGAAACAATGCCACCTATCAAAATATCAAATCTCAACCATTAATGGGAAACATTATACTAACGCTGTTTTGGGATTCACAGGAAAGAGTCCTTAAGAATTATCAGGAAAAGTGTGTGACCAATAAATAGTGAACATTACAGTGAGATGCTCCATGATAAGCTGAAGCCAGTGGTTAGGAGTAACTGCAGAAGACACCTGTGCTGCATAACAATGCCAGCCCCCATGCTGCTGCCTACACTGTTGAAACACTCCAGAAGGTACACTCTGAAACCTCAGAACATTTGGTATGTGATCCTGACCTTGCTCTATCAAATTTGCACCTGTTCTAACCCCTCAGAGATGTTTAAATAGTTGTTATTTAGTCAGTGACCATGATTTGAAGTAGGCAGAACAGACATATATTTCTGCCTGGTCAAAAACACTTTTTTCTCATGGCATATATAAATCTGTGTAGCACTGGACAAGTGTACTGAAATGCAGGGGCCTCCATTGGAAAGTCATGAACTTGTTAGTTATGTATTGCTGTTAAAAGTTTAAAATGTGTTATTGTTTACACTGTTTAAGAAGTTTTTGTATGAGTAGATTAATCTAAAATACACTTAGTTACATGTATTAAACAGATCTGTGCTATAACAAACAAGTAAACAATAAATATCCAGGTGAAGAACAGCTACTCAGCTAATTATAGAGTGAAATGAGAAACAGAACATGTATAAGAATGCTGCTGAATGGCAGAACTGCTGTCAGTTTCCTTCATAATTAATTAAAGCACTGAGTACAACCTAAGCATTAGATTTATATCATGGTCGTTATTGCATCACGCTTCCTCCTCATATCCAACTCCATCGAACAGAGTCTTTCTAAACAAGCCAATACTTGTTCAGTCAGAAACATGCTAACCTTTTATGGAACACTAAAGCTCATTAGTATGTTCACAGCAGCCTGTCAATGGACCCTATGACAGTACATTTTAAAAGCTGTAGGATTTGAGGTTCTCATAGTGATGGTTATGAAGAGATCTATCTTCTGTGATATAACACCATGTAGTTCACTGAATGTCAACTGATGTTTAAGAGAAATTCATCACCACCTCCATCAGAGCTTGCTACCTGTTTCACATTGGTTCCTTGCTTGGCTTATTGTCCAATCCTGAAGATGGCAGCAATATCTTCCTCCAAAATGTCAGTTGACTTTCAACAGACTACACAGTATCATGTCTCAGAAGAGAGACCTCTCAAATTTTAAAAGTTACTTTGGTCTCCTGTTAATACATAAGTACTCTTAGTTCTTTAGGGTCAGCTTTAATATTATCCTCCTATCCATGGCTAGGTTTTCCACATGCCTTCCTCCTTGCTGGCTTTTAGCCTAAAATTTTGTATGCATTTCTCACCTCTTCTCTGTGTATTGCATGCCCTGCCCATCATCCTCTTTGACTCACTATGGTGTATTTCAGGTGTCCTCAAACTTTGTGATACACCAACCCCTTAATATAGTACAAAAATTTATGTGACTCTTCCTTCTCTGCTGGTCATCAAAAAGTACAGTTCTCTACACTGCTGCAGGTCCCTATTCAACTGTAATAGCTCTACAAAGCTCTCTACACGTTGAAATCTATAGAAAATCAACAAAAAGAAATTCACAAAATGTTTTACTGGCTGTTGTTACAGATTCTGAAAGCAACATACAAATCTGACTTGCCAAACTGTGCATGGATATAACTACAAAGGTAAGGTACAGATATCCATGTTTAACTAATTAAGCACCACGCCATGAAGACGTATGCAGGAGTTGATGCACAGATCCATGAATTCATGACCTCTGCACTAGCTACAAGTGAGTGGTCAGGTGTATGCCCCACCCGCTTTACCTTTGCAGGTAAGAGCTCCTGGTGCCCATCGGATAGGCGGCTGGTCTGGATCCTGTGGAGAGGAAAACAAACTTGCCCCTACCAGGACTCAAACTCCTAACCCTCAGCCATCCAGCCAGTTGTTATCCCAACTTGAGAACTCCATACACCTCCTTAGAGTAGGCTGCAAATGCCCAGGAGGTCATGACCCAATGAGTGAGAAATAAAATGGTGTAACCATTACTCTGGTAAATAAAACTTAATGCATATTCTGAAATACCAGTACTTCCATTCAGAACTATAAAGGTATCAATGTATTAAAAACACAGTCTTTACTATGGTTAACACTGTGTATATTCTGTGAAAAACAAACATGCATGAATATTATTATGGGCAAAACCCTGAGAAATTAAAACTAATTTTTGCATAATGCTGTCATCCCAGAGCACTGTCCCAGATGGCATGATGAGGGTACAGCTGACAGATCTGTGATACAAACACAGTTTTATCTGAATAAATCAAAATTCAGCTAAAGCATGCTCTACAGGGTACAGTGGTTATTCACCATTAAAGCAGCTGGTGCAGTACCAGTGAGGTAGAAGTGACACCCTTTATGATACTCTTATGATTCATTCAGATTATGAGAACTGATCTCTTTGCCATTCATGTGTAGTAGGTGTCTGAAACCAAATGAATAAACAAAAATCAAGTAGCTATCCTTTTATTCAAAGTACAACTTTTATGAAAACTAATCATAGCTACAGTCACATAACACAACAATAACTTTCTTCTGTAACCGATGACACACCCATTACGGTAAATCACACAGAGCCACTATCTTGTTCCTGTAAAAGTTTTAAAGTTTCTAATTCTTTTTTCTCCCGGATATTTCTTATACACTCTTCAATTTCTTCCCGGTGTGTTTTATTATCAGGCGGAAATACAGCTCTTCTAGTCTTTACAACCCAATTCTCAAAATATTCTGGTTGATTGAAATAATGGAACAGTGCCACTGGGAAAGTTATGTACAGGCCCATCTTGACAATTTCAAGCTTCCAGTCCCCCATTGTTTTTCAAAAACCTTGCAGTTTATTTTTAAAAATAAGTTTTGACTGATATTTTATCACAAAGGCCACAGTTAGAAACAAAACCCTTATGATGTCATGAACACGTTCAACTCGTTCTCAAACTTCCTGCAAGTACAAACATTAACAGAGTTCGTTAGCACCGGTTTGCAGGTAATATAATTACATAGTATATACTGTAACCAAAGAATGATATGTAAATGTTATGTGATGCTAAAATTTAATTCTAAATTTCAAATGCACTTGTCACTGGAAATGCATAATACTGTTGAAGTACAGAAGAGATGTTGATTCATGATGTCATGAAACAGTCAACCTTAAAAATATTACTAGAGTACTAACAAAAAGGATGTTTAGTTGACACTACTGGCTATTTATAATGTGCAGGCATTTTGAACGTCACATGGTGTAAAAATAAACATATTTTTCACCACTTTTACCCATGAAACACATGGCCCAATAAAACTGCAAAATAAAGTTCATAATTTGGAAGGGCTACTGATCTGTCATACCTGCATACATGTTTCAATAGGTCTTAGGCTACCTTAGATGGGGAATAACAGCACAATGCTACCACAGGCAGACTACTGTAGTTGCGGATTAGGTGGTCACTGTTAAAAAAAAGCTACAATACTTTTTTCACACTTCCTTTATATTAGGGCGGAACTGTTTTTCCCCCTCTAAAAAATGACAAAGTCTCTGTCCTTTATCAAAACAACCTAAAGCAATATAGCCAGTTTAATGGTTCCCAATTCAACAAAGAAATAATCAAATTAAATATTTCAGATTATCGGTGGTTTCATTAAAAAACGATAAACAATATTCTGAAACTTAGTTCTGTTGGATGTTCGAAATGCTTTATGTAAAATATGGATATTAACAACAGACTAAATCAGCACTTATAAGTCGGCTTTTACGTCACACGACATTTCCTCCTTTTTACATAAGATACACAAAAAATCAAAATGAATATTAACATTTCTTATATATCTCAATTACCTCGCGTGTATTTAATTGTTATTCTGATAAAATAGGAGAGGTTTCAAAATAAATCGATTACATAATTCAAACAACCTTAAACGCCATAGTACAGTTTACGGTGCTTTCACTTACAAGCACACCAATATAGTCCTAACAATTACACATTCTGTAGCTCGAATGTCCCTGTACTGCGACCGAGATTTGGTTCTAGAAGGCGCTGATGATGTGAATATATCGAAATATTTGCAAAAGACGACAATAGATGGCACAACAAGATTCGTAAACCACACATGCAAAAAAAAAAATGAAAACAAAGGAGTTATTTTGTGTGTTTGTTGTCCAGTATTCCATGTTGGCCGAAAGTAAACGGCATACCAAATATGTATTATGAGCTTTGTAATAGTACTTTCTAAACATTTTGATTTCATGCGATCTGAAGGTCACAGCTGACCAATACACGTTAAGGCACTAAATATTTACAAATAATTATTCTACAATCGTTTACTGGTGTGAAGGCAGAATGAATAAAGTTAAGTTTATCTTATTGCATACGAAATTACATACTTCATGCTTGTTAGAAATCGAATTTTTGTTCCAGTACTTCAACATATATGAGCCTCAGATATGGCAAAATTGCAAATAAATTTTAAGGAGAAAATATTGATTTGTTTTAACCTTCTATAGGAAAGAATGCATAAGGAATTCTATCTTCTTTAAATTCTACATTTGCACGGTTCATTTTTCCAGATTGCTTTGATACTGTCTTGATTTTGTCCTTCAGAATCTCCAGAGTCACAGGCACAAGACATGACTTCATTCTCCTGAAAAAGTAAACATAAAATATAATTTTAACTGGCGCTGATCCTTTTAATAAGAAGCTTGAGAAATATGTCACATGCTCAATTCAGTATAAGCCTTTAAACAACAGAATGATTGGAGAATACAGCCCTGTTGGGCTACACAAAGTCCAATGCTATGCAATTTTCTCATCCAATTTATGTAACTCTGTGACAATATAATCTACTCATACATACTACCTCAGTTAATATATTGAATACTGCCCTTCTTTAAATTATATACTGTATATTTCTTACCCACAATTAATGAGTGTATCAGATGGGTGTGCTACAACTCACTTCTTAACGGAGACCATAATATGTCCATGCATATATAAAATATTTGTAAATATTATTCAAAGAGCTCCACAATGTGGGATAAATGTATATAAACTGTAGCAATTTCTCAGTATATTATAAACATATAAATGCGAGAAGAAATGTTATTGTTTTAAAAAGTTTGTGGGAACATCCCACATATATTTATACAGCACCCACTTTCCAGCTAACTTTTCACCATCATGCGTGCTAATCAATCACATTCAAAGTCAAAGTCATGTTGCAACTGATGGTCAGTCAGTCAGTCTGTCCTGGTGTCGAGCCCCAGCTGGGGCTCATGACCAGATATTTCTTTTGAATGAAAGTTACTGTCTTGTCTATGTGGGGCGCCATCTCTGACGAGAGGTTTGGTCTGTCATTTGTCAGTCAGTCTGTATTAATATGTCCACTGTCTGTATTTACATAAATTTACAATACACACTTATTTCTTACTTTTATGTACAATATATACAAGGCCTCTGTCAGTCCAGGCTCAGTACAGCAGATTACGCCCTATTTCCAGTATTACTCGCTACCATGGCAGTCTAGTCACTTGAAGGGTCGTATGCCTGACTGCCGCCAAGTTTAAGCCTCTTATACTTTCTGTGGTGGGCTTCGCCTTGTCCGATGTTGCGAACATTCTCATTCTCATGAATTTGTATGACTTCTGCTTGTTGCCTGCATAATTTTGTTATAAACTCATATACATATGGGATTTTGAATGCCATGTGCAAATTGCGGACTGGTATGCGCCTCGGAAAATTACCAATGGTGCGGAGAACCTTGTTTTGCAGGCGCTGCAATTTCACTAGATGGGTGTCTGCCGCCTCCGAGGCAGGACTAGCATAAGTTATTACAGATCTAATAAGAGCTTTGTGGAGGGTCAGTTTAATGTCAGCACTCAATCACTCACTTTTCAATAGGGATTATACTCTAATGAATGTTCTGAAGGCCTTGGCTTCGATTAGTTCTACATGCAGTCACCATGAAACTCTATTATCGAAGAGTACACCTAGATATTTTGCACTATTTACAAATGGAATATTTCGTCCATTTAGAGTAAGACAAGACTCAGGCGGTCGCCGACCACAAGAGAAGTAGACCCCCCCCGAGTCTTATCTTCATTAATTTTTATATTCCAGCGCTCACACCAGGTCTCCATTGAGCTGAGACCACGCTGGAGTTTTCTAACAATAAAACCCTCTTTGCGATCTGTCGCATATAGACAGGTGTCATCCGCAAAAAGGGCCAAATGAATACCATGAGTTTGGGGGGCACAATTAATATACATGTTGAAAAGGGTGGGGGAAAGGACTGAACCTTGTGGCACCCCTGCTTGCATTTCCCTTGGCGTTGACATTTCGCCTTCAACAGAGACCCTGAATTTACGTTTAGATAGAAAGGACCCAATAAGCTTGGTCAAAGGGTTGGGGAATTCCAATTTTGATAATTTAAACAGCAAACCTGAGTGCCACGTGGTATCAAAGGCTTTTTCGATGTCCAAGAACACTGCAGCCGTAGACATTTTATTGTTGAAATTAACGGTCACGTGGTCTGCCAGCCTCATACATTGCAATGTCATGCTGTGACGTGCATGAAAACCAAACTGGCTTGCGTTGAGCAGGCCTCTTTCTTCAATATGTTTACGGAGGAATTTCAAAATTACTTTTTCGAATAGTTTTCCTGTCGTGGACAGGAGGCTGATCGCACGTAAATTTTGAGGGAATTTTGGGTCTTTACCAGGTTTGGGTAAAGTTATTACTTTTGCTTCCTTCCAAGTTGTTGGAAAATGAGAAAGCTGGAGGTAGTGATTGAATAAATGTGTTAGATGAACCAATGATCGCCTTGGAAGGTGCCTGAGGCATTCATTTGCGATGCCGTTGATTCCACAGGCCTTTTTTTAATTTAAGAGATTTTATTAATTTCTGTATGTCACATGGTCTGATCTTTTGAGTGGGTGTGTCTACAGTTTCCAGCAGAGCTTGAACTCTAGCCTCCACCCACCGTTCATGGTTATCGTCGCACAGATCATGTGGTGAGAACTGAATTTCCAAACGGTCGGCAATTGTGTTGGCTTTTTCAGAAGGGTACCCATTGCATTGCTTCCAACACTTGCATTTATACTGCACTCACTGTCTAGCCCATGTCCAGATCATTACATGTGCTAGCCAATCAGCGCTCTGCAAATTTCGCTCCTCCATCACACATTGTATAAAAGGTGGAGCACAAAGCTCACAATCATGAGTCAACACGCTCAGTTCAGAGCGATCAGTCATCAGAGACATCAGCTCTTCACTGCAACCAGGCAACTGACGTAGTTGCCGCAGGCCTCCAGCGACCAGGCAACCAAAGTAGTAGCTGCAAGTCTGCAGTGAACGCATCTTCCGCAATCCCAGCAACCGGCCGAGCCAGCCGATCCTACCGGCGCATGCAGCACTGCATCACCATCCAGACAGGCCAGCTAAATGGCCGTAAGACTCCGCCCACTACAGAGGAGTGAAATCTGCTGACACACTTGCGGTGGAACGAACTGCCATTAGAGGGCCAGCCAACGTTTGAACATTCTACATATATCCTGTATTCTGTATATTCAGTTTAAATGATTTAGTATATACAATTGTTACAGTTTCACGTGGTTTGTCTATTGGAGTATCGACAATCCCACAAGTTATTTCCTCCATTCAGCAGTATTCAGTATTTAGATACCTTCTTGAAAGAATCCTCCACCATATCAAGTCTCTCGAACGCATCATCTTCCTGTGAATACAGAATATCATGTCATGTTATCAATTGTTTTAGGGAACAAGGAACCACATTCCACCTTCAAAAGTCTGAATAGAAACTGCGACATTATGCTTTTGGAATGACACATTTCACTGTTTTGAGGATCAGGAAATTTCTGGTCTTCTTGTTCTAACAACATGTAAGCCCTGAAGAGATACCTATTTCCCAAACATATGCCAATATCATGTCGTATGCCTGAACTCCATGTATAGCTCACCAAAATTTTCTGGCACAGTGCATTGTTATATGACACTTCTGAGTATATATCCTTAATACTGTACATCCTTAACTGCAAAAAATTCATCTTTGTGCCCCAAAGTAAAGACTGTTACACATATGTATGCTATTTTAAAATTCACAATACATATCATACAATATAAGGGGGATGGGATTACATTCTCATTCAAAATTGGCCTAGATACAAGACCCACAATTGAGATGAACCCTGTGTTTGTTCTGTTCATCGCTACTCATTGATTACATACCTTCTCGATATAGTCCTCCAGATTCTTCAGCATATTGGGCAAAGTATGTGTGACTTGTTTACACTTCCCCACCTGAGAACGTAAAATATATTGTCATACAATAAAAAGCAGAAAAACTTGCCATGTTTGAAGCATCTCAAAAGTACATGATACTCTCATACACTTTAGCTACAGGTCTCTTCACACTGTGAGAAGGAACAGGGAGTGCTGCCGTGGGGAAGTTCCCAGCATCAAACTTCCATTAAATATAATCACTAACATCACAATCGATTCATATTTCTCCTACCAGAAGTAAACATTAAGCCACATGCAAATTTATAACACTATGATGAAGTAGTAAATGTAATCTTTGGATTTCTGATTTTCAATACTGCCCTTCTTTAAAAAAATATAATGGAATTTCATCCCCTCCAGTAATGGGTATATAAGTTAACTACATGCCACTTCTTAATGTTGACCACAGTAGTAGTAGTTTAAGTGAGAATGAAAATGCTCATTAGTCCCGGACTAGTTGCATTGTTTGGACTTAAAAAAAAACAACAACAACAACAAAGTCTGTGGCCTGTAGTCTGCAAGAAAACTATACCGACCAAGTGACTGCTGCTTGTCGGTGAAGTTAGTGCCAACTTTAGCAGATAGAGGGTGTCGCGTGGTCAGTGCAATGGATCCCCACAGCCATTAATCTCGGTTTTCTATACCGAAGACACTATTTCCTTGAAATTATTATAATTATTCCTCAATTATCCTCACGAGGCTGAGTGGACCCAGTTCCAGACCCACTACTTCTCAGAATCGAACTCAGGACCTCTAGATTTGTAGCAGGAACTCTGACCGCTAGACCACAGGGGCCACATGACAAGTAACTGCACAACATTATGCCACTCTCATGTTCCATGCTTGAATTACATGAACAGCTCAGCAAAATTTTTTCTGCCATGTTGGTGTACTGTTATATGCTGTTTTTGAGTATATCTGTAATGCTGTCCATCCATCATTCAGATAATTCATTGCCAATGTGCCCTCAAGTAAATTCTCTGTGACAATCATATGCTACTCTAAAATCCTTAATAAATACAATGCAATATAAGTGGGATGGGAATTAAATTCATGTGCAAAAATGTTCTAAAAAGGAGCCCCAGTTTCGATATTATTGTCTGCACATGGAGCAAGATCAGATCCAGGTGCTGCAGGGCCCATCCACGTCACAATATATAGACTCTCAGGGCAGCCCTTCTCTTGGCACAAAAAATTCATCTTCTACGAAAAATTTAAAATTTCTGTCAGTTAGAAAAGAAGTAATTAGCTAAATGAGACTTGTAAGAAAATTCTAATTCTGTAAATGTATATACTAAGCCAGAGTGTCATGTTGCATCGAAGGCTTTCCTGATATCTGATAATACAACAGCCATCGACATACTATTGTTGAAAACTAGGGTAACATCATCTGCCAGCCTCATACACTGAAGTGTCATACCGTGATGTCCTCGAGAGCCAAACTGACTTGTATTTAGTCAATTTCTTTCTTCAATGTGTTTTTGGATTGTTCTACACATAAGCTTCTCAAACAGTTTTCCAGTAGTGGACAAGAGGTAAACAGACATTAAGTCTTGGGGAAATTTTGGGTCTTTACCAGGTTTTGGCAATGTTATGGCCTCTGTTTCCTTCCAAGGTGTCATGAAATGACCAGGCCGAAGGGAGTGATTAAATAAATGTGATTAATACATAAGAGGCATCCTTGTAAGATGCCATCAAAATCACAGGCTTCATTAATTACAAAGATTGTATTTCTTTTGAGACATCACAGCATCGGTAATTAATAGGGGTGTTTTCATCAATGGTAGGCTAAGGCTCCACCTGTTGTCTATGGTCAGTCTCTCACAGGTGATGCACTCTGAACTAGCATTCTAAGGAGTCTGCGATTATGTTGGCTTTATTGATGGGATAAAATATGGGACCTAAGGAACCATGAATCGCAGATGGTGTCTTTGGTCCACCAGCTCAAACACAAAGGACAAACAGCAGAGCATTCCACACTAGATACATAGAACATATGCAAGCAGTTAGAAATAATAATAGTAATTCGGGATATTCAAACAACATACTAATACATAATATATTCATTGATAACTCAAAATTAAGAGACTATACTGTAGGACCCTTTATAAATGGCTTATCCGATCATGATGCTCAACTCATAGAAATAAATAATATTGACCTTCAGCCCAGTAATCAACAATATCAAACAGTAAGGAAAATCAACAAGCATACGATGGCAGATTTTGTCACAAAATTAAGTAATGAATCATGGGACAATGTATTTGACAGCAATAATATTGATTCTAAATTTAATTGCTTTCTGAACACATACTTGAGGATCTTTTATTCAAGCTTTCCCTTAAAAATAGTCAAAAATGAAAATAAAAACAAATCCACCTGGATAACAATTGGAATAAAAACTTCATGTAAACACAAAAGACAACTATATTTGGCCAGTAGGGACAGTAATGATCCAAGACTAAAAAGTCACTACAAAATGTACTGTAAAATTTTGTCAAAAGTCATTAAAGAAGCCAAACAGAATAACTATAACAGCCAAATTCTAAAATCAAACAATAAAATTAAAACCACCTGGGATATTGTGAAAGTTGAATCAGGAAAGAAATCTGTTAATGAAGACGTACAAAGTTTGAATATTGAAGGGAAGTCCACTAACAATCCACAAGCTATCGCAAGTGCATTTAATGAATATTTCCTTTCATTAGCTGAGAAAACATATTCCAATAATAATAATAATAATAATAATAATAATAATAATAATCCAATATACTATCTGTCTCGTGCCTTTAACAATTCATTTCCAAATATCAATCTCAAATTCTCAACAAGGAAGGAAATTGAAAACATTATTAAATCCCTTAAGCCCAAAAATTCACATGGATATGATGAAATCTCTACCAAATTACTTAAAGCAAGCTCTGTTTACATCAGTTCACCCTTGAATCATCTATGTAATAAATCTTTATCATCAGGTACTTTTCCTCAACGCTTAAAATACGCTGTAATGAAACCACTTTTTAAAAAAGGAGAGAGAAAATGCATCTCTAATTACAGACCAATATCCATATTGACTTCATTCTCAAAAGTCTTTGAAAAAGTTATGTATAATAGACTACTTGAACACTTAAATTCTAACAACATATTAGTCAAAGAGCAATTTGGATTTAGGAAAGACCTAACAACAGAAAAAGCAACCTATGAACTAACTAACGATATTTTAAGTGCTCTCAATGACAGATTAATTGTGGGAGGGATTTTCTGTGATCTAGCAAAAGCTTTCGATTGTGTTAATCATGATATCTTACTATCGAAATTAAATTTCTATGGAATAACTGGCAAAGCTAATGAATGGATCAAATCATACCTCAAAAACAGGTATCAAAGAGTTGAAATAAATAATAAAAACTCCAGTCATAATGCATTTTCAAACTGGGGAATTATAAAGCACGGTGTTCCACAAGGATCAATTTTAGGTCCCTTACTTTTTCTTCTCTACATAAATGATCTATCTAAAACCATCAACAATAAATCTAAACCAATTCTATATGCAGATGACACTAGTATAATATTTAAGAACTCTAAATTTGAAAACTTTAAAAATGACATAAATATTGTATTTGAAGCCTTAAACAGATGGTTCGAAGCCAATTTACTCTCATTAAATTTTGATAAAACCCATTACATATCATTCACAACTAAAAACAACCACCAAATTGATCTGGACATCAGTTATGCCAACAAATTAATCTGTAAAGTACTTGATACAAAATTCCTTGGAATACATGTAGACAGTACACTGTCTTGGAAAATACATATTGAACAAATTATACCTAAATTAAATGCAGCTTGCTATGCGATGAGATCAATTAAGCCTTTTATGTCACAGGAAACATTGAAGATGGTTTACCATGCCTACTTTCATTCTATTATGAACTATGGATTAATATTTTGGGGGAACTCTTCACATAGTGTAATAATTTTTAAAATACAAAAGAATATAATTAGAATCATTACAGGATGTAGAAGTAGAGATTCATGTAGAGAATTATTTAAGAAATTAAAAATTCTACCTCTTCAATCGCAATACATATTATCGCTTCTCTTATTTGTTGTTTACAACAAAGATAAATTCAAATTAAATTCTGATGTCTATAACATGAATACTAGACAAAAATATAACTTCCACCTACCCTCATCAACTTTATCAGTATATCAAAAAGGAGTCTACTTTACTGGCATAAAAGTGTTCAACAATCTGCCACAAAGTATTAAAAACTTGGGCAATGATACTAAAAAGTTTAAATCAGAGTTAAAGAATTATCTACATGCTCATTCCTTCTACTCTTTAGATGAATACTTCAATGTAAATAGAGAATGATGTAAAATTAAGTTATATTAATTTTTAAGCTAAAATTGCCTGTACTTATGTATGTAACCTTTTGACTTGTTCTGTATCCAAAGGTACTAACCTGCTTAGGATTTATATAATGTAAATAAATTCAATTCAATTCAATTCAATAAACAATGGATATAAATATGAAGCACTATTCTACAAGCCAGACGGTCACAGGTTTGATTACCAATGAGGTCACTGAATTCTTTCAATTTATCTAATCCGTCCAGCCGCACTATGGCCCTGGGGTTGACGCAGTCCATAATAGAAATCAGTACCAGAAATCTTCCTGTGGGTAAAGGCGGCCAGCATGTAAGGCTGACAACCTTACTGCTGCATATGACCTGACTGTCTAGAAAATGTGGGAGCCTCAACATCTCACAACCCTATGGGCTACCATGGCTAGTTACAGGGACAGCTTTACCTTTTCTCTTTTTAACATAACAGATCCTATAGACATCATAAGAAAACACAAAAATGGAAACACTTAAACGCATTGGAAAAATACCACATAAGCAAGAACTGCAAAGATAACTAGCAAACGAATGACAAACATCGAGATTCAAAACGTAATAGCCAGAGCACTGCAGTAAACGAACACCAGCTACCAGCATACAACATGCCCTGCATTATGTGTGACAACAGTGCCAACTTCATCACGAGCACCACGAGTGACTGTGATTAGTTTAAGCTCTCATAGGAGCATGCAGAACAGCCAGACACACAGAAGAAACAAACAAACCAACAGCAACGTAAGTAACATCAAATATGCTAAGACAGAATATACATAAATATATACCTTAAAAATACAAAACATTAATATAACCCATTACATATTACAGATAAACCAGGCACATGCATAACAATGGCACAATAACATCATATAACCTAGAATATTCTGAAGCATTTACAAAAATGAAAAGCGAACAACATAATAGCAGAGCAGCAGGTTCCTTCTTCCCAGCAACTTATATACTCAAAGATGGCCAGTTAAGCCAAAACATGTAATAGTTTATAATAAAGTGATGAAAATGTGTGCATGTTAATGAAGTTGCATATGGATAGCAAGAATCGGAACACAAAGTTGAATCCATATCTCCTTTGCCACTCATAATTTTCTGGCAGTATAATATACCAGCATACCCTAATTTTCAGTAAATATCTTGAATATTGTTCATGCTGAATTAATACAGCATATTTTTCATGCCTACAAAAGTGTTTCTAAAATTTTAACACATATAAGTAAAATGTGGGAAAATTTTCTTGGTACATTTTAATCATGTAAACAAGAAAACATGAAATAGTACCATTTGTAAATGTTTCTCTGTATATTTCATCACTGTTCATTAATTACACACCTGCTTGAAAGGAGCTTCCAGTAATTCAACTCCTTCGGACATAATGTCAATGATTTTCCCATTATCTTCTCTCTGTGAACACAGAATACATTTTTGTCATGTCTGCTGTTTTAATACATTATGTTCTTCTGTTTTGCCTCAGGTATGTGATATTTAATACTCTTAAAAGAATCTGGAAATTTTCCTTGTTGCTGTTGCAGGAGAACAGCCTTTAAGAGAGATATGCCCACATAACTACATGCAACTCTTGTGGCTTTTGCCTGTACTACAAGTTCAGCAAATCACAACTTTGTGGGCCATTAAGTTATGAGTACAAGCAGGTTTAGTGTATCTCTTGAATACTGTCCATCTTTAATTGAAGTACTCAACTTATGGCATGCCACTCACAACTTTTTGATGGTATAATGTACTGAAACACCCTGCTTTCCAGTTAATAATTTCAACATTGTTCTCATTTAACAAAAATGGGACATTTTCATGGCCCCAAGCAATGAGTGTATGACATGCTTAAGCCACGGCTCAGTTGTTATATCTTTACCACATAAACACCAATATGTATGAAAGTGTATTGCTTGAAAAGTTTCTCTGTACTGGTCATCACTATACAGTATTTACATACCAACTTGAAAGAAGCTTCCAGCAATTCAAGACCCTCTGATAGAATGTCACTGACTGCCTCATTTTCTCTCTGTGAACAAAGAATAAGTTTGGTCATATTCTGAGTTGCTTTAACAAGATGCCTGGTATTATGTCCAACATTTGTGAGCCCGAATAGCAAACGTAATATTATGAGTTTGTAATATGACTTGGGAATGAGACAATTAACACCATTAAAGGAATAAAAATATTTCCACTTCTTGCTCTTCCATGAAGCCATCCCAACCAACTGTATGCAACTCTTGTGGTTTCTACCTGAACTGCATATACTATGTATCACAAAGTTGTGGGCTATTGACATAAAGGAACATGTTGCTTTGAGTACATATTGTGTATTTTCAATACTGTTCACCTTTAAGTAAAACATGCATCTTTGTTATGCCCATCACTAAAGACCATATCTGGTGCACACGGTACATCATATTTGTTAATGAATGCCATATTACAAATGTGGGATGGATATAAAATTTTTGTGCAAAATGATTAAAAATAGGAGAACAAAACTTGGGGAACAACTGTATACAAATCATAACAAAAACACTTGATACGTTTCCAATTCATGTAGAAAAGAAAGTATCAAAATTCAATCCATCTTAAATGCTGCTTTTGTACTCTTCATTAACTACACATTGCTTGCATACCTCTTTGGCACGGAGCGCCATTTCACTCTGCTGCACAGACACAGAAACCAAGACTTTTATATCTTCCTGAATCTGTGAACATACAATATAATTTTCATCATCTCTGTTGCTTTAATAAGAATATGAGAAATGTGTCACTGGTTCAAAGGACTCAAGAGCAAATGGAACAATGTGATATTGTCATACACTTTAGGTACAAGCCTTCTGACATTTGAAAAATGATCAGATAGGCTGCTCCTGTTGGTCTTCTCAGACCCCAACTTTTGTGGAATTTCCTCATTCAATGTACGTAGGTAAGTCAATAATTATCCGCAATGTAGCTATAAATTTTATTTGAATACAAATAGAAAATTTACATTAACATCATTTTTCAACATAGTCCCCTTGCGTTTCAACGCACCTGGTCCATCGTTGCACAAGCTTCATATGCCCTCAGAAAAGAAGGTTTTCGGCTGAGCAGCGAGCCACGCATGCACCGCTTCCTTCCCTTCTTGGTCCGAGGTGAATCGACGGCCCATTAATGCCCCTTTGGGTGGACTATATGGAGGATGAGCCATTACATCAAACTTGAGTTTCCAGAGGGTTTCAGAGGTGTGGGCAGCAGTATGTGGACGGGCATTGTCGTGCAACAACACAACACCTTTCGACAGTAGTCCTCGGCATTTTCTTTGAATTGCAGGCTTTAGCCTGTCAGTAAGCATCTCACTGTAACGAGCACTGTTTATTGTTGTGCCCCTCTCCTGATAATGTTCCAGTACTGGGCCTTGTGAGTCCCAAAAACTGTAAGCATCAGTTTTCCTGCGGACAGTTACCTTTTGAACTTTTTCTTGCTGGACGATTGTGGATGTTTCAATTTCATACTCTGCCGTTTACTCTCCGGCTCGCAATGATGGATCCATGTTTTGTCACCAGTGATGATTCTGTCTAAGAAGACATCACATTCGTTACCATAGTGATCCAAATGTTGTTGGCAGATGTCCAAGCGCGTTTGTTTATGCAACACTGTGAGTTGTTTTGGGACCCACTTTGCACAGACTTTATGAAACCCAAGTCTGTTGTGGATGATTTTGTAGGCAGAACCATGACTAATTTGCAGACGATATGCCACTTTATCAATAGTCACTTGTCTAACAGAACTATGTCACGTGCATGCTCAATGTTGTCCTCATTTGTGGCCGTGGATGGTCGTCCGGCTCCTTCCTCATGCGTAACACTTGTGCGACCATTTTTTAATTTTTAAACCCATTCGTAGACACTCCGTTGTGGCAAAACACTGTTCCCGTATTGTGCTGAAAGTCTTTGATGGATTGCGGCCCCTGATACACTTTCCGACCACAAAAACCGGATCACTGAACATTGCTCTTCTTTGGTGCAAACAGAAAGTGGAGTAGCCATGATTAACGGCAAGGCAGCAACGATCAAACTGACCTAGAAACATCAAACCTGCGCAGAAATAATGACAAGGAAACCACGCATGGTGATGCTGTGCAAAACGACCGTGCTGCTAACAGAAACACAAATACAATTGCATTGTGAATAATTATTGACTTCCCCTCGTATATGCGCTTCATGTTCCTTCCACTGGAACCACATGTTCAACTACTCTGAACTTTGTAACAGTAAAATGTATTTGCACATACTGCCTCACAGTATTTTGAATATTGCCCTTGTTTAATTAATGTACCGCATATCTGACCCCCTCGTTGGTGGCTCCACCTTATCGTGGTGAGGGGGTTTGAGTATGCCAAGGACCCTGAGAGCTATATCAGTGGTAGTGTAGCTACTGGCAGGGCCTCCCTTGCTGGACAGGTCAAGAGAGACACCAAAAACTGATGCCGGAAGCAGCGTCATCAACAGCGACTTGAAGCAGAGCAAATGATGCTCGAGATGGTTCAAGTTTGTATAGCAACAGGCGTGACCAGAGTGGTTTGAACGGCTGTTGTACTGCGATGTGGAAAGCAAATTGAAAAACTTCCACATTATCACTTTTCCTGGATAGCCTCTTTCCAAAAACAGAGATACCAAGTATGCGAGATGTTTCCTCTGGAGACAAAACAATCCGGAGGTAAACTACTCCCCCAATTGGATCTCCGGGGGGGGGAGTGTTTCTTGAGGAAATGTCATGCAGGAGTTATGACAAGAAAAAGTGCGAAGATCAGAAGGAACATCACGGCTACAAGATTGGAATATGGAATATAAGGATCTTGAATCAAGCAGGCAAATTGGAGACTGTGAAAACGGAAATGCGCAAGAATGAGGTGTCAGTTTTAGATGTCAGTGAAGTGCGATGGAAAGGACAAGGTCAAATAAGAAGCGATGATTATACAGTGTATTATTCTGGAGGTGAATGGGCTGAAAGAGGTGTGGCAATAGTGGTGCATAAAAGTGTAGTGAGGAGTGTTGTTAAGAAGATTGTTTGTAATGACAGAATTATTGCTCTCAAGTTAAAGGTGGAACCAGTAGATATACTGATTATGCAAGTGTACATGCCAACATCAGAGTATGAAGATGATGAAGTGGAAAAAGTGTATGACACAATTGAAGAAATTCTTCAGGAAGATGGAAGAGGAGACACAAACAGCATCATATTGGGA